AACAACCATATTGCAAGAACCAATCGTGACAGATTATTTTTGATAGATTCCCCTGCACGCACAAGATTAGCAATCTCAATAACACAAAAAGAGAAGATTTTCTCATTCAAATATCAATTTTTTTTTTCATTTTTAATTGAGACTTACTTTGTGCAAATGAGAGAAGAGTGACAGAAAACCAAATTATAGAACCAATTATCTGAGGAAATGAATTTCCAAACTCTGGATTGTCGTTCACATACTCATTAAAATAGATAATGGCTCCAGTGAATAAGCTTGATGCTGCCAGAGCCACCCACAATTTCCATTGGAAGGCCTTCAAAGCAATGAATCTTTGCCATTTCAAATCATTTTTTACAGGTACCACCATAACAATTTGAGAGTCCATATAAGGCTGTGAAAAATCAGCATAATCATATCTATCGTCCAATATACTAATGTCTGCAACTGCTGCATCCAAACTCTAATTAAAGAAAAAAAATGGAGTTACATATCGTAGTAACCTAGCAAGAAAGAAGTTAGGAGAAATTTATCATCTAGCAAAGCGAAAAGGATTAACAACCCTTACCTTATTATAAACTGCAATCAACATCTCATCGTAAGTGCCACGAAATGGAAAAAAATCATAAGGAAAATGACTAAGCGACTTAGCTGCGGCTTCAAAAACTTCAACGGAAAATCCGCTGAAGAATGGTTTCATCTCTTCTTGATCATACCTGACGCTGACAAACTCTTTGACAGCAGCCCGTTCAGGAACTCCAATTTTCAGTCTCCTTTCCTTGGGAACTGTTTGCCCACCTGTAGAAATTTTCCCATTCACACTAATTATCCGAAATGTACTTTTTTGCATTAACTTTCCATTCTTGAAGCTGATTTTTCCACTAAGACCTTCAAAATCACTTGAAGAGAGACGATTTATCAGTTCACTTGAGTTCATTTTCCCTCTAGAATGTTCCATGGCTTTTACAATGGCCCATGTAGCATCATATGCCCGAAGAGCATACGTGCTTGGATCTGGATGTTTTTTTTTTCCCGAATAGAGGATCTAACTTTCTCAAAAAGTTAAAAATTCAGCAATAAAACCAAAAAACTAACCTGGCTGCCGGTGTTATCAAATGGACAGGATAACAAATTTCAAGAAACATCTACAAAATCATAAAATACGTCGGTTGTTTTGATAAGTAAGCAGAAAATTTACCAGTGGAAGCTGCTCGAGATGACGTTCCATTTAAATCTTTAATGTACCAAGACAGCTTTGAACAATTCGACAACTGATTAAATTCATTGACAGCCATTTGAATGGCAATTTGCTGCTCCTTTCCAACGCGAGAACTTTGATCAATCACACACCCTATGCAAATCGTGTAAGGATGATCTACTTGACAATTGCTGCTTTTTTTATTTTCTCGTGCTTTAGTGTGATTGAGTATAGAAGAGAAGATGAACAGGAAGAACAGAAGATGACAGAATTTTTTATGCAGAGTGTTTTTTTCCATGTAATAGCTGGAGAGAAAAGAACGTCTTCGAATGACTTAAAGCTTGATGGACTAAAATCGTTTAATATATATATATAGCAGAATTATTCTTGTAGTACATCACAAGTTACACAAGCCGGCGTCCCCCAATTGGTGGGGGCGGCGCCGATGTAGAAGAATCTGAATTGACATGAGCTGACTTATTCAAACAGATTAATTAATTGAAATGGCAAAAATGGATGTTTCATTGATTCAAAAGCTTTTACTCCAATCCTTCAGTGACACCTGTTAAACGACCAAATCTTGAAAAAATTATATATTCTATGATGAAATTTTACGGCATTTGAGAATGAGAGTGGTTTCAAGGAAATGATGATTAAATGATAAAAAAAAAAAAGTATGTCAAATCATGAAATAAATAAATAAATATGAATCTTGCAGTGTAAATTTATTGGAAAAGATGAACTTTGAATTATTAAGCAAAACAAGTATGTCAAATCATGAAATAACCGTTTATAAATGCATGAAAGTTCAGTATGGATAACTATATGGAATTTTTACAATGACTTTATAGACTATCGTTACTCTTCAAGACCGAGTCGGTTTCTTCGTATA